GAAGGTGGGAGATGGCGGGAGAAAAGCGGAAGGCGGGATGGTGGGAGAAAAGCCGAAGGTGGGAGATGGCGGGAGAAAAGACGAAGGCGGGATGGTGGGAAGCGGCGGAAGAAGTCGGGGGGGAGAGAGAGAGAGAGAGAGAGAGAGAGAGAGAGAGAGAGAGAGAGAGAACAGGTAAGTCTCCAACCTCGAGAGAGAGACTAGGCGAGCTGCAGCTAAACAGCCCGTGCAGCCATAGCCAATTCACATACGCCGAATCAAGCACGTAAAGCGCAAGTCAAAACGAATGCAAACTGCATGAAAACCGCATTGAGAGCAACATGTGGGATCCCCCGACCGGATTCGCACGCCCACATAACGGGTCTCATCAGGAGGGTGACTCCAAAGAGCCTCTGTGCTCGGAAAGGAATGCCTAAGCCTTGCACTCCATGCTATGTACTCCTTGCCCTCAGCCAAGCAGCCATCGTCTGTAGCGAGGTGATGATATCCGTATCCCTAAGTAAAGTTGTCTTGAAGCTCGGTGGTCAAGACTCGACTTGTCCCGTTGTTTACCGCTAGCTCATCCGCCCATTCCCGTACATCCGTCCAGGTGCACTGTTAAAAAATTACCCAGACCGATGGAGGCTGTTCCTCCGAGTACCGGTTTCCTATCCACAAGCTCCCTATCGTACTGTCGACTTCTCGGTCCCCCTATATCATACGCGAGATCCTGCCTAGGTACATCCTCCTAATCGAGTACCGTAAAATGAGCCACAAGATAAGTAAAAACCCAAAAACAGGTCCAAAATGTAAAAGGGCAAAAACTGAGAGCCCCCGCAAGGCTCTCGGGTTCATCGCCGGTACTTCAAAATCTGATTTCTGACAAAAAGACAAAAGCCGAAAACTGAAAACCCGCAGCACCAGAGGGTCGGTAAGACGAATTGAATCGTGAAAACACTCAAGTACCGTGAAATAAAACAAATTATGAATAAAAACCAGACTGGATCAGCCGCGTCTACATGCGCCCGGCCGAATCTTCAAGTCGGCGTCCCCGCCTCTTGCTCCATTCCGTTGTGTATTGGAACCCCGCCAGCATGTTGCATAGTGCCTTACTAGGCACAGCCTTGGCCAAATCTGCCAGGGCTCCAAGAGAGAGAGAGAGAGAGAGGGAGAGAGAGAGAGAGAGAGAGAGAGGAAGGAG